AAGTGACCCCTCCCAGCACTAACCCCTCCCCCACCCCGGTTGCCCACAGGCGCTGCTGACCCAGAACTGGTGGGGCGAGATGGAAAGGTCCACGCCCGTCTGGAAACTCCTCCTCACCTTCTTCTGTCCCCCCCTCATCTTCACCCACCTCATCACCTTCAGGTGGGTGCCGTGGGCCCTGGGGAGGGGGTCAGCTACGTAAGGGGGCACTGCTGGGGGAAGCTCGCAGCACCGGGTCCCCAGTTTGGGGGCATTGTTGGGGGAAAGCTCACAGCACCGGGGACCCAAACTCAGTCTCCCTCTCCCCCCACCCCCGAGGCTGATGGGGGAGTGTCACAGACTCACAGATCGTGCCCACTCTTGGCCCCATGCGGTCCGTGGGGGGTGCCCCTTTCAGTGCGACAGTCCCTCTCGGGGGTCCACTCTCTCTCGGGGTCAGGCCCCTCCACCTCCTGGAGCCGCACCTCTCTGAGCCTTAGCACGTCTGTCTCTTGCCGTGGGCCCCCTCAGGGAGTCCACTCGCTCTGGACCCCCCGGGCCTCCACCCCCGAAGGGGTTGATGCAACCCTGTTCTCTAGACCGGAGTGACTCTCAGCCAGCATAAAACAGGAGGATTTATTGAGAGTTGAACCCAGCACAGGAAACTCTCCGACCTCAGGCCTGGCCTCCCTCAGCCCAGCACATCCCAGTCTCCCTGCACCCAGGTGGGCTCTGCCTGCTCCCCCTCTCCAGCCCAGAGCCCCCCTGCTCGCAGCTGGGCATCTGAGATCCCCGGCCCCAGGCCCCGCCTCTGTCCATTGTCTTCTCTCCAGGGAAACAGGGTCGTAAACCGGGGCCTCCTCTCCTCGCTTCTGTCCTCTGGCTGGAACCGGCTGGTCAGGTCACTGGGTCCTCACTCTGCAGCCCATTGTCCTCCCACTGGCCAGAACCGGCTGCGTCTCCTCAGCTGGGTCTCCGGGTCACCAGGTCACCGGTCGCTGGGGTATCCATCCTCCCGGCCATCGGCTGGGTCCCCACGTCCTTTCTCCGGTCCTCTGCAAAACACACTCCCTCTCCCCTCACCGCGTTAAACCAGTAACACCCAGGGAAACTGAGTCCCACCCCCTCTGCATGCAAACCATTGAAACCCCACCGAAAACAAGAAACCCCCCCACTTCGTCACAGGGAGGATCTGGAGCAGGAGAAGCCCCACAGCCTGGAGCTGGAGAACCTGGACGCTGACGGGAAATGCCCCATGGAGGAGATCCTGATGGGGTAAGGGGGGCAGCCGGGGGGGAAGAGGAGGGCGGGGTGCCCCATACATTGGATCCCATGGTGCTGAGGGGTCCTGCCCCTGCCCCCTCTGCAAGGTCATCCCCCCTCAATCCTGCCCCCCAGATCTAGCCCCCCCCCACGCAAATCAGAATCCCTCCCCTAAATCTGTTCCACCCCCTCCATTTGCCCCCTGGTGCTAACATCTATTCCCCCATCAGCCCCTAATCTGTCCCCTGCACCCCCATGGCCCTGCCCCCGCTAACCCCTCCCCCCTGCAAGCCAGAGACCCTGCAATGGCTGTGACCCCCCCATGCTGAGATCTGAGCCCCCCACAAGCCAGAGCCCTCCCCCCTATGGCCGAACCCCCCGTGACGGGTTCCCCCCGGGGCGCCACTTGGACCTGGGGTATCACTGAGCCCACCTGGCACCAGCCCGGGCTCCCTCTCGCCTTGGGCTGCTGTGACAAGCTGCCGACCCGCTCCCGGTCCTACCCCCCGGCCAGCACACACAGGTCGGGACACCCCCAGTGCGGCTACACACACGCATGCCGCGATCAGGCTCCGCTGAGGCCCCTCCCAGGTCCTGAGGCCCGCACCCCCCTCTGGTGTGTAAACCCAAAGTGATCCTGTCTTGCACAGCACAGCGTAAGCTCCTGAAATTCGCCCCCTCGCTCAGTGTGGGGCGGGATAGACGCAGCTTTCTGCCCCCGGGGATCACTGCCACCCACTGGCTTTAGACAAAACACAAACCGCGGTGAGTAACTACAAAAGACAGATTTTAAGCGATTCGAAGGGACAGGAAACAGATCTGAGCAGATCACGTTGCAAATAAAGAAAACCGCAAACTCAGCTTCGCACACTAGCTAGGCGGGAAATGAAGGAGCAAATTCTCACCCAGAGCGACAAACAGGCTGGCAGATTCTGACGGCAAAAGCTGCCTTGGTTTCCCCCGGTTTTCATACACAAGGTAGCACAAGAAACTCTCTGACCCTCAGGCCTGGCCTCCCTCAGCCCAGCACATCCCAGTCTCCCCTGCACCCAGGTGGGCTCTGCCTGCTCCCCCACTCCAGCCCCGAGCCCCCCTGTTCGCAGCTGGGCATCTGAGATCACCAGCCCCAGGTCCCGCCTCTGTCCATTGTCTTCTCTCCAGGGAAACAGGGTCATAAACCGGGGCCTCCTCTCCTCGCTTCTCTCCTCTGGCTGGAACCGGCTGGTCAGGTCACTGGGTCCTCACTCTGCAGCCCATTGTCCTCCCACTGGCCAGAACCGGCTGCGTCTCCTCAGCTGGGCCTCCGGGTCGCCAGGTCACCGGTCGCTGGGGTATCCATCCTCCCGGCCATCGGCTGGGTCCCCACGTCCTCTCTCCAGTCCTCTGCAAAACACACTCCCTCTCCCCTCACCTCGTTAAACCAGTAACACCCAGGGAAACTGAGTCCCACCCCCTCTGCCTGCAAACCATTGAAACCCCACCGAAAACAAGAAAACTCCCCACTTCGTCACAGAATGATACCTCACAGGGCAGGCGTGGCGCAAAACATACCCTCATTCCATGACCGTGGTGAATATTGGGGTGCAAGGGTGTCACCCCCCATGCTGAGCTCTGACCCCTTCCACCCTGCAAGACCCGCCCATGGCTGAACCCCTCCCATGCTGAGATCTGACCCCCCACAAGCCAGAGGACCCCCCCCATGCTGAGATCTGACCTCCTCCCCTGCACCGGTCAGAGACCCCCCCACCATGCTGAGATCTGAGCCCACACAAGCCAGAGTTCCCCCATGTCGAGATCTGACCCCGCTCCCCGCAGGTCGGCGTGCTCACCGAGCTCCCCCCCGCGGCCGGGCTGGGCCTGGGGGCGCTGGCGCTGGTTCTGGGGGGCTCCGGTGACGGCCTTCCTGGGCAACGTGGTGATGTACCTGCTCTTCCTCCTGCTCTTCTCCTACGTGCTGCTGCTGGACTTCGCGCCCCCCCCGCCGACGGCCCCCGCGCCTCCGAGGTGCTGCTCTACGCCTGGGTCTTCACCCTGCTGTGCGAGGAGCTGCGGCAGGGCTGCTTCACCGGGCGCCGGGCGCTGGCCCAGCGCGTCCGCGCCTACCTGCAGGACCCCTGGAACCAGTTCGACCTGACCGCCCTGGGGCTCTTCCTGCTGGGGGCCGTCTGCCGGTGAGACCCCCGGCGCGCCTGGACGTGGCCCCCAGACTCCCATCCCTGCATGCCTGGGCGTGGCCCCAGCCTCCTGTCCCCGCATGCCTGGGTACGGTGCCCCCAGCCCCTGGCACCCCCAGCCTCACGTCCCTCCGTCTGCCCTGCCTGGGCATGGTGCCCCCAGCCTCCATCCTTCTGTCCCCCCTGCCTGGGCATGGTGCTCCCAGCTTCCCGGCCCCCCTGCCTGGGCGTGGCCCCACAGCGTCCCATCCCCCCATGCCCTCTGCCCGGGCCCGGTGCTGCTGCCCCCCTCCCTTTGCCCCCACCCCACCAGCCTTGGCTCTGTGCCCCCCCCCCCACCGGCACAGAGTCACATCTCACGGACCCAGCTGTGAGTGGGGAGCGGGTTGGGGACTCCCTGACCCATTCCCTCCTCGGCCCAGAATCACCCCCCAACTGAGCCGGGGTCCCTGGCTGTGCTTTGGGGAGGGGATTGGGGGCAGCTCCCGGCTGTGCTGGGGGGTTGGACCCCCCCCCTCACCTCACTCCCCCCCCAGGATGTTCCCCAGGACCTACGCGTCGGGGCGCACCGTGCTCTGCCTGGACTTCATGGTCTTCACCCTGCGTCTCATCCACATCTTCGCCGTCAACAAGCAACTGGGCCCCAAGATGATCATCGTGGGCAAGATGGTGAGCGGGGGGTCCGGGGGGTGAGGGAGGGATGGAAAGGGGGGGGCTGGGTGGGGTTTGAGGGGATTCTTGTGTTGAGGGGGACAGTGGAGGGCTCTGACCAGGAGGGGGATATGGGGGGATCATGGAGGTTATGGGGGGCAGTGAGGGGGTCTGACCAAGAAGGGGATGTGGGGGCCCCGTGGGGTGGCTTTGGAGGGGGGTCTCACCGGGAGGGGGATATGGGGACCCCATGGCGGTTATGGGGGGCAGTGGGGGGTCTGACCAGGAGGGGGATGTGGGGGCCCTATGGGGGACAGTGGGAGGTCTGTCACGGAGTCACTGGGCGATGCTTGGGAACTGCTCCCTACGAAGCCAGGCAGGACTCTGGGGGGAGCCTCCTCTCTCGGAGCAGACTGTCCCCGGGCAAGGAGCTCACACGGCTTCACCTTCCTGGGGCTGAGCCCGGAGCATTCAGCATCCCCGTCCCCCCGTGCGCCTCCCGCAGCGAGTCCGTCCGGGGGGGGGTCCTGGGGCAGCCAGAGGGTCCTGCCCCCCAACTCCGCAGTCAGACGTGACTCTCAGCCGGCCGGGAACACAGAAGGTTTATTAGCGGACAGGAACAGCCCAAACCAGAGCTTGTGGGTACAGAGACCAGGACCCCTAAGTCAGCTCCATCTTGGGGCAGGGAGGCCAGAGCCCATCTGGCCCCCCTCCATTTCCCCAGCCAGCTCCAAACTGACCCCCCCGCCCCAGCCCCTCCTCTGGCCTTTGTCTCTTTCCCGGGCCAGGAGGTCACCTGATCTCTGTTCTCCACCTTCAGTTGGCACCTTGCAGGGGAGGGGCCCAGGCCATTAGTTGCCAGGAGACAGGGTGTCGGCCATTCTCTGTGCAGACAGCATCACATCACACCCCATTATCCCACCACCTAGACACTTGAGAACTGCATAGGGGAAACTGAGGCACCCAGCCAGTATTCAGAGAAAACATTAAGAACATTCCCACTTTGTCACAGGGTCTGACCAGCAGGGGAATGTGAAGGCCCCATGGAGGTTATGGGGGGCAGTGGGGGGTCTGACCAGGAGGGGGATATGGGCGGCTCATGAGGGTTATGGGGGGCAGTGAAGGGGCTCTGACCAGGAGAGGGTTGGGAGGTCCCATCCCAGGGGCTCATGCTCCCACCCCCAACAGATGAAGGACGTCTTCTTCTTCCTCTTCTTCCTGGCCGTCTGGCTGGTGGCCTACGGGGTGACGACCGAGGGGCTGCTGCACCCCAGTGACCAGCGCCTGGCCTGGATCTTCCGCCGCATCTTCTACCGGCCCTACCTGCAGATCTTCGGCCAGATCCCGCTCAACGAGATCGATGGTGCGGGGCACGGCTCTCCCCCGGCCCCGGGGCGGGGACTGGCTGGCTCAGGGGAGCAGGGAATGAGGCCCGGGGCCTGTCCCCTCTAGGGGGCACCAGCTCCCATCCGGCCCCAGGGCAGGGACTGGCTGGCTCAGGGGGGTGGGGAAGGGGGCACGGGGCCTCTCCCCTCTAAGGGGCACCTGCTGCCATCTGGCCCCAGGGCACGGGCTGGACTGGCTCAGGGGGACAGGGAATGGGGCCCGGGGCTCTTCCCCTCTAGGGGGCGCCGGCTCCGATCTGGCCCCACAGTAGGGGATGGTCTGGCTGACGGATCTCACCCCCCCACCCCAGCGGCGCTGATCGCGGCATCGAACTGCACGGACGACCCGGTGGCGATCCTGATGGAGGAAGCCAAGCCCTGCACGAACACCTACGCCAACTGGCTGGTGCTGGTTCTCCTCGTCATCTTCCTCCTCGTCGCCAACATCCTGCTTCTCAACCTGCTCATCGCCATGTTCAGGTACCGCCCAGCGAGGCCCCGTGGTGAGCGTGCAAGGGGCAGGGTGCATCGGGGCACGTGGGCCGTACGTTAAGACACGTGCAAAGGGTCAGGTGCATGCAGGGCCGGCTCAGCAGGCAGGTGCTTGGGGTGGCACGTCCGGCTCTTCGGTGACAATCTGGCGGCGGGTCTCTCAGTCCCTCTCGGAGGGAAGGACTTGCCGCCGAATTGCTGCAGAAGAAGGAAGCGGCGGCGGTAGAGCTGCCGCCGAAGTGCCGCCGATCGTGGCTTTTTTTTCCCCCGGCCGCTTGGGGCGGCAAAAACGCTGGAGCCGGTCCTGGGTGCATGAGTGCGTGTGGCGAGCATAGGAGGTGCCAGGCATTAGTGCAAGGAGAACGAGTGACTAGTGAGTTGATATGCCAGTGCACTAGAACATGTGGGTGGAAAGTTAATGAGTGTGCAAGGCCCCAGTGCACAAGTGAGTGCAGAGGGGGAGATGATGTGTGTGCAAGGCCTTGGTGCACTGGCGTGTTCAGCAGGTGAGCTGATGAGTTGTGTGTGGGCCTCGTGCACAAGCACTTGCAGAGGGCAAACTGACAAGCTTGCAAGGCTCAGTACACGAGCGTGTGCAGACGGTGAGCTGATAAGCGTGCAAGGCCCCAGTGCACTAACATGTGCAGAGGGTGAGCTTACGAGTGTGCCAGGTCCTGGTGCACTAAGACGTGCAGAAGGTGAGCTGACGAGTGTGCAAGGTTCCAATGCACGCATGTGTGCAGAGGCAGAGTTGACCAGCGTGTGAGGCTGTGGTGCACTAGTGCATGCAGAGGGTGAGCTGATGAGTGTGCAATACCCCAGTGCACTAGCGCGTGCAGAGGGTCAGATGATGAGCGTGCAAGGCCCCAGTGTATTAGCACACGCGGAGGATGCACTACGGAGTGTGCAAGACCCCAGTGCACTAGCGTGTGCAGAGGGCGAGCTGATGAGCGTGCGAGGACCTGGTGGGGGTGGGGCTGTCCCTTTGCCCCCCGCCTATCTGACAACCCCCTCCCCCCCCCAGTTACACCTTTGCTGAGGTGCAGGGCAACAGCGACACCTACTGGAAGTCGCAGCGTTACAGCCTGATCCTGGAGTACCACAACCGGCCGGCGCTGGCCCCCCCCTTCATCATCATCAGCCACGTGCGACAGCTGCTGCGCTACCGGGCCCGGGGGGGCTCTGCCAAGAGCCGCCACTTCGGTGAGGGGGAGGGGGGCCTCGACCAGGGGCAGTGCTCTGGGGGCAAGGACAAGGGTTTGGGGGGAGGGGGCAGGGCTGGGGGGAGCAGATCTGGGGGTCGCTCCTTGCAGGGGTGGGGCAGGACCAGGGGCAGTGCTCTGTGGGGCAGGGACAAGGGAGAAGGGCTTGGAGAGAGGGGGCAGTGCTGGGGGCTAAGGGGGGGGCAGATCTGGGGGTCGCTCTTTGCAGGGGTCGGGGAGGGGTCAGAGCAGTAGTGTGGGGGTGGGGAGCGGGGCCAGGGAGGGTCACCAAGTTCATGTGGGGCTGGACCTGGCCTCCGCCCCTCTTCCCGCGCCTCGGGCCTGCTGGCCCCCGCCTGCTTTTCACATGTCAGCTCCCTCCACCCCCGGACGCCTGGGTCCCCAGCTCGGGACCTGCCCCCGGAGCAGGACGCCCGGCTGCTCACCTGGGAGGCTGTGCAGAAGGAGAATCACCTGGTAGCCCTGGGCCGCCAGAAACGGAACAGCGACACCGAGCGGCTCCGGCGGACGTCTCAGAAGTGAGGGGGGCCCTGGAGAAGAGGGGTGTATGGGGGTGCAGGGGGAGGAGTATGGGGGTTCAGGGGTTCAGGGAGGGAGCGGTGAGTCTGTGGGGGGCAGGGTGAGTATGGAGGGGTGCAGGGAGGGGGAGCATTGGAGTTGGGGGGTCACCTGGGGATCAGAGGGTGAATCAGGGGAGCCCCCCCAGTGACCCCCGTCTCCTTCCCCTTTCAGGGTCAACCAGGCCTTGAAGCAATTGGCCGAGGTCGGACGGCTAAAGACCCAGGTAGGGGGTGGGGGGGCAGGGGGGCAGGGGATGGGGGCACGTGGGGTACAAAGACGGGGGAATCTTGGGGGGATGGCAGAGGCAGGGTGGGGGATCAGGAGGGGCAATGGGGGTGCCAGAGGGGGGCTGAGGGGTCCAGAGGAAGGGGGGGGTGGCTGAGGCGGGGGACCTGGGGGGAGGGGCTGTGGGGTCCTCAGCGCCTGCCCCGCTCCCCCCCCAGATGGAGAAGTGCACCAGCGCCCTATGCTGGATGATGGACACCCTGGCTCAGAGCGACCTGGGGAAGAACCGCCCCGCCCCCCCCAGGCTCAAAAAGGGTGAGTGACCCCCCCATCCACACCCCTGCCCTTGTATCCCCCCTAGTTCCCTCTGCTCCCCACCACTAACCACCCCCCATTGCCCTGGGCTCCCCCACATAGGGTGCCCCCTCCCTCCCCCCTGCACTGCCCCCACTCTCCTCATGGGAACCCCTTTCCTTGACCCCCAATCGCTCCTTCTCCCCCCTCATAGTCCTTATGGGGCCCCTCCCCCGATGCTGGAGCCCCCCAGCTGTCCTCCCCCCGCGTGGAGCTCCCGGATTCCACCCCCTCCCCCAAGAAACAGGCCAGAGCTCACTGGGGAGGGGGCGTAATGAAGGAGTTAATTACCCCCCCTTGCGCACTGGGGCTGGCTGGTGGCTGTGGGGGGCTGCGCCCCCCCCCCAGCTTGCCCTAGTATTGCAGCTGCCTGTCCTGAATCTGTCTGTCGCTCCCAGACTGACCCCCCCCAACCCCAGCGAGCGAGGACGTCGGCTGCGGAGAATGGACACCCAGCTGCGAACCCAGGCGTCCGGGCACCACAGACTGTCCTGGGGGGCTGGAGTTCAGGAGATCCCTGCTGTGAACCCAGGTGTCCGGATGCCACAGACTCGCGGGGGGGGGGGGAATCTCAGGGCACCCCCCCAGCGGGTCCCCTGGTGACCAAGTGGGGTTTTATTCATCTTGTTATGTTGCATGTGAGTCTTACTGTCCTAGACTAATACGGTGCGTGCCTCAGTTTCCCTGTGTGCTGCACCAGTGCCTCGGTGGCGGGAATAGGGGGTGTGGGACTTCGGCTAACACCCTCGCGGCTCCAGCCGCCTGCACCTAGGTTATGGCCCTAACCTGAGACCCAGGACGGGGATGGGACTAGGTGACTCTTTGCCTGGGAAGAGAGACAAAGAGAAGGAGGAGGGGCAATAGGGGGTGTCGGAGGTGGGGAGGCTGGAGGCTGGGAGTCTTCGTGGGGGGACTGGAAAAGGGGGAGTCCAGGGCGTCTGGCCCAGGACGCCCAAGCGGGACTTGGCTGAAAGTCACTGATTTCTGTGCTAACAAACTCTGCCCTACGCTGTGATCCCGTCGGCTAATAAACCTTCTGTGTTCCCGGCCGGCTGAGAGTCACGGCTGACTGCGGAGTTGGGGGGCAGGACCCTCTGGCTGCCCCAGGAGCCCCGCTCTGGATTCAAAGTTCTCAGTCTACAGGGCGGGCACGGGGCGGGCCCTGAGGACCGAGTGCCTCGTTCCCCTGGAGGTGGATGGGAGGACGGTCGATGGATACTGGGACACGGGCGCAGAGGTGACGCTGGCCCGGCCCGAGGTGGTGGCCCCAGACCAGGTGGTGCCCAACACCTACCTGACCCTGACGGGCGAGTGCAGGCCCACGTTTAAGGTACCCGTGGCGAGGGTACATCTGCAATGGGGATCAAGGAGGACCCCAAGGATGTGGGGGTGCACCATCATTTGCCCACTGTGTTGCTGATGGGGGGTGACCTGGCGGATTGGCCAGGTGGCCCCCAGAGCGCCCTAGTCATGACCCGTAGCCAGAGCCAGCGAAGGGCGCTCTGCCCTCACACCGGGGGCAGTGCCCTGCCGGGGGCGCCGGTCCCTACCCCAGCGGGAAAGGAGCCACTGGGGACAGGACTTGGCGGGGCTGCGGCCTCAGACCCAGTCACTGAGCGGGAGCAGGTCCCCAGGCCGAGCCGCGGAAGGATCCCTCCGTGGAGAAGCTGAGGGAACTTGTCGCGGTGAAACCCCGGGGGGAAGGCCGCCGGGAGAGATTCCTGTACCGGGAATGGGCTCCCCCAGGGGAAGTCGAGTCGTGGGGGATCTGGAGGCAGCTGGTCGTCCCCCAGAGGTACCGCCGCCGGCTACAGTACCCGGCCCACGATGCCCCTCTCTCGGACGCCAGGGCATCCGGCGCCCAGCCAGAGGCTGCGGAAGAACTTTTCCCGGCCCGGGGTCTTTGACGTGACCCCTGCCAGCGGGTGGGGATGCCCGGGACAAGGGAAAGCGGCTTTGAGACCTTTGCCCATCAGAGAAGAGCCTTTCCAGAAGGTGGCCGTGGGCATAGTGGGGCCCCTCAGCAAGGCAACTCGGACAGGGCAAAAATACATCCCGATGGGGGGAGATTTCGCTCCTCGCTACCCCGAGGCGGTGGCCTTGTCCTCTCCCGAGGCCGACCCCGTGGCAGACGCGCTGCTGACCGTTTTCAGCGAAGTGGGGGTCCCCAAGGAGGTCCCGTGATGTAGGATGTGAGCCTATGTGAGTCTTACTGTTTTGCATGAATGCTGTGCGTGCCTCAGTTTCCCTGTGTATTGCACCCAGCTCTAGGTGGTAGGAATAAAGGGGTGTGACGTTTGCGGGGGCTGATCCGGCTGCCTGCACCAATGCTATAGACAAAGGCCGGAGGAGGACAGGGGCCAGGCAGCTGGAAGCGAGTCAGTCTCGGCTGGTTTGGGGCTCAGGGGGAGGACCGGAGCCCTGGCTCTGGGCTCCCCTCCCCACAAGCGGGACCGGCCCGCCCGGCCAGTGATTCACCGCGTTGCGTTCCATCGCGCCTCGGGAATTTTTACCTTCCTCGCCCCGTCCATCGCTGCGCTGGGGGGCACTTCCTGACCTCTCCGGTGCCGGGCATGTCCTGGGAGCGTGAGTATGTGAGTGTGACCCCCTCTCGCCCCCTTCTTTTGAGCTTCGCTATCAATATAATAAACATGCTGCTTTCTGCCAAACTCTGCTGGGTCATTCGTCCTCCCTAAGCTCACTAGCTGGCCCACTGTCGGGTAACAATCTCCTCCCGGGTCGCGGCCCCGCTCGCCCACTTGCGGATGTATCGCCCCAGCCGGGTGGCCAGCTCCCGGTAAGTCACCCCCAGGGTCTTCTGCAGGCCCCGGAACCTCTGCCGGTGGCCCTCAGGGCTCGGCTCCAGCTCCCGCAGCAGGGCCCCTTTGAACACATCGTAGCCCCTGCGTGCGCCCCGCCTGTCCGGCTGAGCAGCTGGACGGGCCTGGGGGCTAGGAAGGGGAGGAGACGCCGGAGCCGGTCTGCAGGGGCGAGCTGGTGCCGATTGAAGGCTGTGAGGTAGGCGTCGATATCCCCCCGCCCTGAAAGGGGGGCAGCAAATTAGTAGGAAGGTTCCTCGCAGGGGTGGGAACTTCCCTGTGGGCTTTGGCTATCGCCAGGTCTTGCTTCCCAGGCTCCGCCTCCTGCTCCCCTGGCTCCACCTCCTGCTTCCCAGGCTCCGCCTCCTGCTCCCCTGGCTCCGCCTCCTGAACATAAGAACATAACATGAGAACGGCCGTACTGGGTCAGACCAAAGATCCAACCAGCCCAGTGTCCTGTCGACCGACAGTGGCCAATGCCAGGTGCCCCACAGGGAGTGAACCTAACAGACAATGATCAAGTGATCTCTCTCCTGCCATCCATCTCCACCCTCTGACAACAGAGGCTGGGGACACCATTCCTTACCCAGCCTGGCTAATAGCCATTAATGGACTTAACCTCCATGATTTTATCCAGTTCTCTTTTAAACCCTGTGAGAGTCCTAGCCTTCACAACCTCCTCAGGCAAGGAGTTCCACAGGTTAACTGGGCGCTGTGTGAAGAAGAACTTCCTTTTATTTGTTTGAAACCTGCTGCCTATTAATTTCATTTGGTGACCCCTAGTTCTTGTATTATGGGAATAAGTAAATAACTTTTCCTTATCTACTTTCTCCACATCACTCATAATTTTATATACCTCTATCATATCCCCCCTTAGTCTCCTCTTTTCCAAGCTGAAAAGTCCTAGCCTCTTTAATCTCTCCTCATATGGGACCCGTTCCAAACCCCTAATCATTTTAGTTGCCCTTCTCTGAACCTTTTCCAGTGCCAGTATATCTTTTTTGAGATGAGGAGACCACATCTGTATGCAGTATTCAAGATGTGGGCATACCATCGATTTATATAAGGGCAATAAGATATTCTCCGTCTTATTCTCTATCCCCTTTTTAATGATTCCTAACATCCTGTTTGCTTTTTTGACCGCCGCTGCTCACTGCGTGGACGTCTTCAGAGAACTATCCACGATGACGCCAAGATCTTTTTCCTGATTTGTTGTAGCTAAATTAGCCCCCATCATATTGTATGTATAGTTGGGGTTATTTTTTCCAAGGTGCATTACTTTACATTTATCCACATGAAATTTCATTTGCCATTTTGTTGCCCAATCACTTAGTTTTGTGAGATCTTTTTGAAGTTCTTCACAGTCTGCTTTGGTCTTAACTATCTTGAGCAGTTTAGTATCATCTGCAAACTTTGCCACCTCACTGTTTACCCCTTTCTCCAGATCATTTATGAATAAGTTGAATAGGATTGGTCCTAGGACTGACCCTTGGGGAACACCACTAGTTACCCCTCTCCATTCTGAGAATTTACCATTTATTCCTAACCCTTTGTTCCCTGTCTTTTAACCAGTTCTCAATCCATGAAAGGGTCTTCCCTCTTCTCCCATGAGAGTTTAATTTACGTAAGAGCCTTTGGTGAGGGACCTTGTCAAAGGCCTTCTGGAAATCTAAGTACACTATCTCCACTGGATCCCCCTTGTCCACATGTTTGTTGACCCCTTCAAAGGACTCTAATAGACACAATTTCCCTTTTCAGAAACCATGTTGATTTTTGCCCAACAATTTATGTTCTTCCGTGTGTCTGACAATTTTATTCTTTACTATTGTTTCGACTAATTTGCCTGGTACTGACGTTAGACTTACCGGTCTGTAATTGCCGGGATCACCTCTAGAGCCCTTTTCAAATGTTGGCGTTACATTCGCTCTCTTCCAGTCGTTGGGTACCGAAGCTGATTTAAAGGACAGGTTACTAACCGTAGGTAATAGTGCCGCAATTTCACATTGGAGTTCTTTCAGAACTCGTGGGTCAATGCCATCTGGGCCTGGTGACTTGTTACTGTGAAGTTTATCAATTAATTCCAAAACCTCCTGTAGTGACACTTCAATCCGTGACAGTTCCTCAGATTTGTCACCTACAAAAGCCGGCTCAGGTTTGGGAATCTCCCTCACATCCTCAGCCGTGAAGACTGAAGCAAAGAATTCATTTCGTTTCTCCGCAATGACTTTATCGTCGTTAAGCCTCCGTTTGTATCCAGGTCGGCCAGGGGCCCCGCGGGTTGTTTAGCAGCTTCCTGCTTCTGATGTACTTAAACATTTTGTTTTTACCTTTGGAGTTTTTGGCTAGCCGGTCTTCAAACTCCTCTCGGGCTTTTCTTATTACATTTTTACACTACATCTGGCCGTGGTTATGCTCCTTTCTATTTGCCTCACTAGGATTTGACGTCCACTTTTTCAAGGAAGTCTTTTTATCTCTCACTGCTTCTTTTACATGGTTGTTAAGCCACGGTGGCTCTTTTTTAGTTCTTTTACTGTGTTTCTTCATTTGGGGGATACATTGAAGTTGGGCCTCTATTATGGTGTCTTTGAAAAGCGCCCATGCAGCTTGCAGGGATTTCACTCTAGTCACTGTACCTTTTCATTTCCATTTAATTTCTCCGCCTCGTGCTTCCCCGGCTCCGCCTCGTGCTTCCCCTGTCCCTCCAGCTCGCTCAGTCTCTGCTCCAATTCCATCCGTCTCAGCTTCCCCGACGGGGAACCCGCTGGAAACCCCCTGCTGGGTCCCGGGGCTGCCCGGCTGCTCCCTGACCCTCCCGCGGCCCCACTTGGGTCAGGAGCTGGCTGCTTGGAGCAATCGTCTTCCTCCAACTGCTGGAGGAGCCGTCGCTCTCAGCACAGGTCTGCCAGGGGCTTCTTACCGAGCTGGTGATGGGCCATTTGTCTGCTGTTCCCTTTCATTCCCCTTGGTCCCTTACTGCTGAGCATCCCGGCGCCAGGGCCGGTGCAAGGGTTTTGCGCCCTAGGCGAAACTTCCACCTTGCGCCCCCCCCCTGCCCTGAGGCGCCCCCCCCCCGCAGCAGCTCCCCACCCCAGCTCACCTCCGCTCCGCCTCCTCCCCGAGCACGCCGCCCCCGCTCTAATTCTCCTCCCCTCCCAGGCTTGCGGTGCCAAACAGCTGATTGGCGCTGCAAGCCTGGGAGGCGGGAGAAGTGGAGCGGTGACTGCGCGCTC